TTCCAAACTGCTACTATAACTGGCTGCTGGCAGTAGCATCATATTTACAACACAGACATGAGAGTAGTATCAATCTTCTCATCTAACATTTTCCACAATACTGATATATTCAATTAAGGATTTGACCTGCACTGGATTAAAGAGTGGTTTTAAAGAGAAAATTTAATTAATTTTTCCTTCTATCTACTGTTGCTAATAAGGACTAATTGGTAGAAATTAATCAGACACCTCAGTTAATTCTCAGCAAAATATTTGTCTTTTTTTCTTATGTGTCCATCAGAGTTGGGACCAAGTTATTGTTTTGCAAGTCACAAGTAAGTCCAAAGTCTTTGCACTCAAGTATCAAGTCAAGTCCTAGGTTAAGTCCAGAGTTAAATCCCATGTCCTGAGATTTGAGTTATGAGTCCTTATCGAATCATAATGCACTCTTCACAAAATATAATGCCACTTTAACAACAACACATTCTCACTCTGACCTCGTCACATATTGACGTTCGGTCACGGACCTTCCACGTCCAGATACCATGTGAAGGCTACCCTAGGTGCATTGGTTGTAGACATTCTGGGATGCCGTGTCAAGTTCTGCCTGTTGCATGCATTGTCTTCTTTCAAAATACACTTCTGTTTTTACAGGAAAATAACATTTACATACAGTTTCTTTCAAAATAAACGCACTACGTCAGTACAACATTGTGAATTAACGAACTAACGTACGTGGTTGGGTTTAGGCAAAAAGAACAGGGTTTGGCTTCATAATCTTACGGGACGCAAACACCGCTCTCCCGCCTTAACTTTCACGTTTCCCCCTGATACCGCAGAGTACCTTTAAACTATAACTGGCTGCGTATCACGCCGACGTTAAAGGATGGCTTTTTTCGTCAGTGTCTGACACTGAAAGTCACTGCGCAAGCGCCAGATTTTGATGAGTTTGAAGTGAGACCGGGTTGTTAACAACAGAAAAGTAATATATAATACAAATAATAATACAATATTTACAAAAACTATGACTGCTTATAGAATTTTGATATATTTGTTGAAACAAGTGCAACTAAACACAATCATTGAAAAACACATTGCACTTTCAAAGCATATAGCACTATTAACCAGTACCTCAACAAAATTAATTTATCTCTCTGTCCTGTCTTGTTGTATTTTACTCATCTCATATTGGAAAAATGACACTTTTTTAAATAAGATACCTTTTAATCTTTGGGCTTGGAGGAAAGCATCAAGCATTTTCAAGTCAGAAGGCTCAAGTTCAAGTGAAGTCAGAAGTCACTGGTGTGAAAGTCAAGTTGCAGGTCATTCCTGAGTTCGTCAAGTCCTGTCTACAGTCATCAAATAGGTGACTTGAGTCTGACTTGAGTTCAAGTCACATGACTCAAGTCCACACCTCTGGTTTCTATGAACTCTGGTTTTCAGAGTAATGTCATATTTTGTGTTGACCTCAACTTACAGGTGGTAGTATTGTTTAAAACACAGAGAAGCTGAGGCCAGAGGTACGATATTCAGCATGTGAACATAACACACATGTACACACTCGAGCAGTTAAGCGTGAGAAGTAACACATCCCTCTTAAAGGCATTCTCTTCCGTCGGGGGCAGAGGGTTTCACCACATGAGCTCCGTTAGTAGGTGGTGTTAAAGAAGAGGAAGATTGAAAGGTTGACCTTGCACACTCTCAGCTCTTCCTCGCACATTTCACATGACAGGCTGCCTGCGTTATTTATTCATGTTTAAAGACAGTCTGCTCGATACCAACTGCAAGATTCACACACACACGCACACACAAACACACACCCATTCCTAGCACCCAAACTGCAGTCAAACACACATAACACAGACAGAATAAATCTCCATAAAGTGTTTGATTGGAATCTGTTGTGCATGTCAGTGTTGTCTACTGGTGGTAGCATCTGCAGGAACCATATCAACAACTGGGCAAAGACAGAGCGAGGCAAGCCTGAGCTGACACTGATTCAGTAATTGCCATGTGCCCATGTTGCTTATCAAAATAATTGACAGTATTTTCTACAGTGAGATGGAAGTGTTTATCCTGGTGGTGCTATCCAGACAATACTGTAGATTCCAACAAGTGTGGATCGGTAATGAGATGGTTGGGCTTTGTTAAGGTTTGTTCTTCCCAAAAATGTGGTTCTGGGTAAATCTACTGCATGGCCATTGTCCATTTAAAGCATCTATCTATCTAACTTTTGGTCCATATAGGTGAGTCTTATTGTCATAACTATGATAAAATCATGACTAAATTTGCTTCTCATGCCGACTTTTCAAGCAATTTCACTGTCGCAGATAAATTTCCATTGTCAGAGTAAAATCATCACCTCAGTTGGTGCGCTCTCCCGTGATCTCGATTGTTTGTTGTTAAGTGGTCATATAACTCAGTCCTATCTGTCTTAAGTCGGTCTTTCTCACCTTGATGTTCTGGAAAAAATCTAACTTTTAATATTATTGTAAGTTTTTAGTCTTGGCTCATGCAAACTGTGAAGTTCGATAACATGAACATTGTCAGCAACCAATAGCTGCATTCTCTCCAGCACAAAACAGGAAGCCACAAACCAGGAAGACAGTAAACATGGAGAGAACTCCGAGAAGCCGCAAGAAAGTTCTCGAGAAATGAAGCTCTTGTAAAAGTTCAGTCAGGAAGACAATACTTTTCACGCTCAGGCTGTAAGTTTCTTTCTCACTCTGCCATTCACTCCTTGCACGCATGCTTACTCACTATTTCTAGGTGTCATTGTTTGGGTCTGTCAATTGAGTCATCAGCTGATTCACAAGCAACCAGTGACACAACTTCACTGTCAGCCTATCATCTCACTGCTCCTCATTTGAAATAGGGTCCTTTCTCTGCCGTAGTTCTTTCTTGCTGCAGTCGTTTGCACCCTCCACCTCCCCATCACCACCTAGTCTTTACAGATTCATCAGCCTCATCTGCCTCATCGGCCATCAGCCTCGGAGTCAGCAGCCACCACCACCACACCAGTGTCTGAACTCCATGGGGGGATTTATCCTGCTGCCGCTTAGATGTCCCTCAGTCACAAAATATGTCCAAGTGCCAAAGACTTCTGTTAAATCTTAATCCGCACAAATCATTGGTTAATCTGTACACTCATGTTCTGTATTAAATATTATTAATATTAAAGATATTATTACAATATCTTTACTTCTTTTTTCTGTCTCTCCTGATTGAACTGTGGAAAAGGAGGAGAAACTGGTGGAGTTACAAAGTGAAACAGAACTCTGGGTTTAACTCAGCGTGTATCTGATCCACCAACCAGCACTTATTTTAGTGGGAAATCTTAATTTTTGAAACAGTTGTCCTCTCATTCCCATGGTCAACTTCTACTAAAATAGCTCAACCAACCAACAGAGGCTGGCAGTGAGTTGAGGCATCAAAATCCAAATTGTAAAGTTTGTACAGTTTATCTTTATGAATGCTGTCAACATGTGACGTCTTTTATCTTGCGCTTGCAAAGTTATCAGTTTTTGCGGACATATAAGGAATTGTTAACATGACGCATTTCTTGAAGGGTGTTTGGCGTTTTTTTTTTACCAGGAGCAGAATGGAAAAAAGTCTCAAGTGGAGGAGCAATTGTAGTCTTTCAAATGGTGACCCTGAAAGATGCCCAGTCTTTGCAAAATCTTTCAGTGTGTGACAAAGAAACTCTCACTATCTTTAGTTTTGAGAAGATGTCTGATTTTAGAAATTTAAAAGTGTTTTCAAGGTCTTTTCAAAGTCTTCTGGTGTAGAGTAGGCATAACTCTTTGTGACTGCATCCTTTTCACTGCTTCTGAAAGGAGGATGAGATGTGCACCTGTCACTGCTTGATCTCAAATGAGTTCAACATTAAATACAGTTGGGCAAAACAATAAATCAAAATACTTTTATGACACCTTTAATAACACATTCTCACTCCGACCTCGGTCATGGACTTTCCATGTCCACATACGACGTGAAAGGCACCCTGGGTGCGTTGGTTGTTGATGTTCTGGGACACCGTGTCAGGTTCTGCCTGTTACATGCATTACACTTCTGTTTTCACAGGAAATTTAATGTTAAAGTACAGTCTCTTTCAAAATAAATGCACCAAATCGGTACAACACCCCAAACAGACGTTTTTTTTTTCCTCCAGTAACTAATGCACGTGGTTGGGTTTAGGAAAAAAGAACAGGGTTTGGCTTTATAATCTTACAGGACTAAAACACTGCTCTCTCAGGTGAAAGTTGGTGTTTGTTGGACCCATCCACCAACCCTCCTGCTAACGCCACTCGGACTTTCACCACCTTGACTTTAGTCCTTGTCCCGCCAGGCGGCGTTAAACTTTAACAGCAACCGGTTGCGTATCATGTTAACGTTAAAGGATGTCTTTCTGACACCGCAAGTCACTGCCCAAGCGCCGGATTTCCACGACTTCGGCTCCCTTTTCACTGCTTCACAAAGGGGAATGGGATGCACAGCTGTCATGGTTTGATCTCGGATGACTTTGCCATAAAATACAGCTGAGCAAAACAATAAATCAAAACACTTTTATGACACCTTTAAGCATCTCCACTGCAAAAGACGGGCTCCAATATTTTGAAAATGTACTTATAATCATCTCATCCCAATGAAAGGTTTGGTTTAGTTGTGGAATTATTGCCAGGTTTTAGGTTTGAAGCTCCATTGTGCATGGCTTCCAGTTTAGCCTTGGAAAAGAGAACAAAATTCTGACTATGCAATTGAAGCACTGACAGTTGATTGTGTTTATTTGGTTAGGGAATGGACAGTGAAAAATACACACATTGAAACTCAATATCAGGCTCATCCTCTGGTTCAGGTGGGTTATTTTTTACAGTGTAACCCAGTCTGACGAGTCTCCTAAGGCCTCTCTACCACCCCAGAGCCAGGCGGCTGATTGACAGGACTTGGCTGGCTGTGGACCCTCCTTCCCAGCGTCTCCTCCTCCCTCTCTCCCCTCCTGTCCTCTCTCCTCTGCTCTGCTCTCCCTCTCTCCTCAATCGCAGGGCTGCGCTCACCGACTCGACACCGCCAACAGGGATGCAGCGAGGGCGCAGCGCAGCCTGAAAAATGGCACCACCACGCGTCCTGTGGATCTATCCATCCCTTTTCCTCCTGTCCTCCCTGCTTCTGCTTTTTCACGCGTTGTCGCCGTGCCGAGCCTTACGGAATTACCCGGAGAATGAAGGTGGGTGCCCTGACGGGGTTGTGTGTCAGTGCGTGTATGTGTGTGTGTGTGTGTGTGTGTGTGTGTGTGTGTGTGTGAAGCTGAAAGTGGAGTGAGGGAGATGACTTGGGTTGTGCGCTGTGTTGGCGGATGGGGAGCCCCATCCCGCGGTTCCACTTGCCGGGGAAAGGAGCGGAGCGGCGGAGACTCCCGTTAAGTGCTCGGCTCGGTTATGAATGATGCATAAAGAAAAGCGGAGAGAGGGAGAAGGAGAGGGGGGGAAACTGTTCGTCACGTTTTTCTTTTCCGAGCACACTGACATTAAATTTGTATGACATATACACACAGGCAGCCCTGCCATGCTGAAGATAGAGAAGGCTGATGTAGACATTTTACTTTCTGACATCTCCTCACATTGTATTCATTCATATATAACTATATTCCTTGCATTAAACTAACCTAACTGAGAAAGATTACACCAAAACAACAGTGACATCTCCCTCCTCATTATAAATATCTTCATTATAAAGCACTGATAAATGTTTTTTTGCCTCCTGCTCCAGCCTCAGTCTGCAAATGAGGAGCAGCAATTACATTAAATTTGTCACACGCTGCTGCTGAGCCTCTCTCAGTTATTGTATTAACATCGATGCTCGGCCTGAAATTAGCCAATGCATTTACTCACTAACTACTCTTGACTGCTTGGTGGGCTGAAACACGGATGGGAGCTTGCTTGTTTAATGGGAAGTTGCACTAAGTGGAGATAAAAGAAGAGAGAGGCGGGTGTGCAGAAGTTATATGCACAGTAACTGCTTTATAAAGCTGTTGGAGGGTTATCTCAACTTTTTGTTTTTTTGCTGGCTGGCTGTCAGACAGTGTGACTGGAGATGATGCAGCTGTGACTTGATTGTCATTCTGTGAATTATTTTACTCAGTGTTTCCCAAAGCTCCAGTCAGTCCTGCTCTTCAGCCAAGGGCGTAGGTTTTGTTCCCACATTAGGAGGGATGCATGAAAAGGGAACTGGGGGTCCTCACCAGGAGATTTTGAACTTAAAACACTCTGCATGTTGATGTTTTTAATTTTGTCAAAACAAAACTCCTCTGTTAGTTTCATGTTTTTAACCACGGGGGAAAAGCGTCCCCGGCATCCCCCCAGTATCTACGCCTGCAGCTCAACAAAGCTCTCCATCCTTGTTATGAGCTGGATGATTTGCCTTCCATCAATATTTTTTCCTCTCACTCACTCTCTCACACACACACAGACTCCAGGCTTGGATTAAACACTCAACAATCACCTTGAACACACGCACACAATGACAGGGCGACGTTTGATGACATCTCTTGTCTCCGGCTGACTTAACAGTATAAGCGGCACGTACGTACATGCGGCTGAATGTATGTCACAGCCCCGTGGAGTTCACGTAGAACAAAGGCTCTGAAGGATAGATAGGGAGCAAGAGACGCACACACACAGACGCACAAGAGTGGAGGAGTGTTTTCACAGCGGGAGACAATGCATGTGAAGGCGACACTAACACACTGCTGAAATATTCATTGAAATGAGCATGAATGATGAAACCAACTGGAAGTCAAAGGAAACTCCTGTTGATTTAGATAAACGACCAGGGGCATCTGTGAGTTGCTGTGTGTGTCTGTGTGTGTGTGTGCGTTTGTGTGTGTGATGATGTCCAGCGTGAGAATTTTTGAGGTGACTGAAGGTTTTTCATCACTGATACACACTTTTCAAATAATCTGCCATGCAGCCCGCGTCTGATTCACTTTGTCTTTCATCCTGTGGTTATTTCTCTGTCCTGCTGTGTCAGACTATTGGCCTAATTGGCAACTATAAGCCCAATGCCCGACTTGTGTGTGTATATGTGGAGGGTGTGTGTCCATACCCCGATGGGAAAGTAATCCAATGAAGCCATTTTTGTCAGCCGCTCTGTGCCCTGCGTTTACCTTTTCGGCCTGCCAGTTTTCCTGCTGCGACTGCACACTTAGCTGAGGGATTGCTTTTCTTTGTGCCAGTGTGTGTGTGTGTGTGTGTGTGCCTTGTGTTTGTCTATGAGTGTGCATATTCTCCACCCACGTATCTCGGTAGTCATGTTATTCCAGGAAATCCTCCCTCTGAGTCTGTCGAGTAGAAGTGAGGCTGTCATAAAAAGGAGAGATAGAGCTCTCAAGGCTCAATTAAGAACACAGTCCCTTTGATACAGCTGATAGTGTTAGCGGGAAAATAGTGTTAAACTGTCAACAAGCTTAGTTTACTACCGGAGCTATTGATCTGCTCCAAAATTGTTGGCATTTACAAGAGACTCAGTTGTGTGGGTGCACCGGCGGCACACGGTGCTTCCGGAGAATTGATGTTTGAAACTGCTGCAGACCGGGGGACATGTAGTGGGAAAGGGTCCATTCATACGTTGTTTTGATGAAGAGCGTCCTTTGAAGGTCTTTTGTCATCAACAGTAAGGGGAGGAAGAGGAATGGAGGAGTTGTTGTGCACCAGCAGAGGGAGCCCAACACACCCTCGGTCTGAACCCTGAGGGCATACTGATGTAACAGCAGGGTGGATGCTCACAGGTCTCTCACGGTTCCTTTTTGTCCTGCTGTCCTCAGCCGGTCTTCACTTTCCTTCTGCATTCCTTCTGACTCAGTGTCTGCTCCTTTTTTGTTGTTGTTTCCTTGCACCCACTTCTCCCTTTCTGCATCCTCCCGGTGGGGAACGGAGCAGACTATTTCTATTTTCGTGTCTTCCCCCTCTCTCTCTAAATATACCTCCTCAATCCTAGAAAACACAGGAGCATGACTGGGAGCCCCGCTCTTCCTTCCACTGCAAGTGTACGCTGATTAGCGTGTACTAATAGAGGTGGATAAATGATTTCATTCCAAATTCTGCCCGAAAACTGCTGCACAAATGGATGTATAATTGAATTAATAATCAAGAGAGGGCAGGGAGGGAGAGGAAAAACAACAAAACATGGGGAAAATGTGACTCAACTGTGGTTTATGTTATAGTCTTGAGCTTTACTGTAATCTGTAATTGGTCTCGGAACTACGGTACACTTGAAGCTTTTTATTGGATTGGCCTTAGGGTACGGGGAGGCGGTGGGTGAAGGGAATTGCTGTATTGCTTTGTAAGGTTAACATAGGGGTGAGCAGTTAGTGCAGAGGCAAGCATATGTAAAGCCTCCCCTCCCACACATGTCGTATGATTCACACAACATCCTGACTGTGGTATAATGTTGGGTCAAAGGTCTCCTCTGGTTTAATTGCTTTAATCTATAATGGTTGCTTGTAGTTATCGGCAGAGCCATACTTCACCAAGTGTGTGTGTGTGAGTCCGAGAAATTGCTACGCTCCCATGTAACAACCGTGACCTTGGACAGAAGATGATATAGATCGACGCTCCCATCAGAGAGCAGCGGAGACAGACAGCAAGCGCGAGCACCCTCCTGTTTTTCTTGTCTACCTCCTCCACTCCAATCCATCTTTAATCCCCATCTTTCATATCTGCCCTTCTCTCCCTCCTGGCCTCCATCTCTCTCTCTCCTTACTTGTTTCCCCTTTTGTTTTCTCCTTCTTTACTCCCTCCCTCCCCTCTTCCTCTCTCTGACTTCCAGTAGCAGTGTAACAGTTGGACAGCCCGCTGTATGTTTTCTGTAATGAGGTGGAGCTCCTATATCTGCTTAACACAGGCCCATGCACACGCACACATGGATGCATGTGCACGTGCATACACACACCCCCACACACAATCATTCTATCGTAATGTATGGCTGGGGGGCAGTTTGGTGGTCTCGGTCCAGAGAATAGTGTCATGTATTCCCGGGGCTGGCTGATAGATGGGGTTATAAATACAGCTCAGTGACAGAGAAGGATTCTGCTGTGAGGGCTTCACCTCATGGATTCATTGTGTGTGTGCGTGTGTGTGTGAGAGAGAGCGAGAGAAAGAGAGAGAGAGAGAAGGGGGGACTGAAATTATAAATAAAAGACAAATCCACAAGAGAGAATCCGTGAGACAAAACAAAAGCGATAAGAAAAAAGAGAATAAATTTCTATGTGTTCTGTTGAGCACCCGCAGAGCCTTTGTGTTTTATTTGATGGTAGTCAGTGGTTGCTAAATATGGTTTTGTATTCAGCCCTACTAATTCAAATTCTTTTGTTTCGGCAAAGATAAATCGTTAACCCTTAACAGTCAGTTTCTCCATGTCAAATGTAATAGTTTGACATTATGTGTACGTTTTCTGTACGAGGGTGTTAAGATGTTTATTTCTGCTTTAACATTGGAGTCTATGAGGATCCGCTGGCTTCTGGAGCCAGTCTCATGTGGCCGTTCAAGGAACTGCAGGTTTAGGCACTTCTGTGTTGGCTTCATTCTTCAGCCTTGGAGGTTGCCCTTTGATAAGGATTGGAAACAGCTAGCAAGCTCTGTCCAGGGGTAAAAAAAAAAAATCCCAACCTACCAGCACCTTTAAAGCTCACCAATTAACATGTTATATCTGCGGAATTTGTGCACAAACTGAGGGTCTGAAAATGACCACATGTGGTTTTACAGGGGGTTGTTTCTGACCTCCTGGGGTCTTTTCGTCAGTGTGAGATTGCCAGGAAGTCATGGCCGAGAAGTAGTCCAGCACACAACAACAATAAAGCCACAAATAGTCATTTTGACAGTGCGGCTTTTGTTTGTATTCAACAAAGGAGACATAAAGTGTTCGTTGGTGAGGTTTACACATAAAGGGCATTGTTTTTGTGTGATGAATCCACTTTAAGCTGTTATTATTTTCACGAGTACTGTTACACAGAACACAAATACTATGCGACGAAAAAGCAACTTAATTTTTTTTGGGAATGTGGTTGATTTTTCTGACCTTTCCCAGGGCAAATAAAGGCATTGACCAATCATGTTGTGTGGAACATCAACACAGAGACTCCGTAGTCCAAACTAAGAGCAAACAAGCAAACTTTATCACGCCTTTCAACCTTACAAAGGCAGTGCATACAAGATCCACTACTTATGTTCT